CTATCAATTTACCGCCATGTGATACTGAAATATTTCATGGCGATGTTTTACAATGGCCCTCATTTAGGGATTTATTTGCCGCTATATATGGCAATAACCCAAAGCTATCTCCGGTAGAAAAGTTATTCCATTTGAATCAAAAAACGCGAGGTGAAGCAAAAGCTATGGTTTCGAAAGCGCCACTGACGAATGATGGATTTGCATTGGCTTGGAATAATTTGTTGTATAATTATGAAAACAAGCGAGTGTTTGTCAACACACAACTAAAATTATTGTTCAAGCTTCCGCACATCTCAATAGAATCTGAGACCGAACGCAGAAATTTACAGCGGGAGATAAATAGCTGCGTTTCAGCTTTACAAATACATGGCATCAATGTAGATAGCTGGGATGCCATATTCACGTATTTGTGTTCTATCCGACTACCGAACTATACACTGTCGCTTTGGGAACATTCTCTGGATTCGGATTCAGACATGCCAAAATGGGTTGAGTTAGACAAGTTTCTAACCAAACGGGTTAAAACACTTGAGAGAGTATCAAACCACAAAGGCGAGTTGAGTACTCAACCCAATATTAAGTCGGCTAATGGTGAAGATCGGATATCAACCTTGCAGTCAAGGATTGGATCCAATCACRTCAATTCCCATCACGCTAAGAAAAACAATATTAAATGTAAACTGTACTCATCTCAATCACACATTTTGATAACTTGTCAGAGATTCATTGAGATACAGAATAACGCACTGTTAAATGCTGTCGGAACATTTCACGTCTGCCTAAACTGTTTATCAGACTCACATGAAGTTTAAAATTGTAGAAGTATGTTTATTGTTCCAAATGTAAACAGAGACATCACTCTATGATTTACCGGGATCAGAGTGAGAAAATAGGTCAGATATCCGACAGCACAGACACTACTGAGATTTCTACTAAATCTCATGTGGCCTCTATTAAGGCCAATATTTCAAATGTGCAACAAGAGCACCTTCACTGTCAGAGCCCTGATCGATTCGGGATCTGAA